CCCCCGTACCCTTCCATCCCTGAGAAGGGTGGAAGCCTTTAGCCCTCTCCCAGACATACACCTGCCAATGCCATACACCTGCCAATGCCATACACCACCTGCCAGCAACTTACTACTAAGTGCCCTGGGGAAGGGAAGGGGAGGGGGGGTCTTCACATTGTGACCCCCAACACAATCAGTGCGGCTAAAGAGAATCACAAGGTGTCATCACTTTCCATCCCCAGCCCCTCCCTTACATGCCACCCGTTCCATTGTATGTGCACGGGGGTCTGATTAGCTCCATGAAATCCTGGAAGGAGGTGCTGCCGGGGAGACAATCCTGCAAGACTTTGGAGCTTTTTTGTGTACAGAGGGTGTGAGGAATGCGGGTGTGGTAGGTGGTCACATTCTTGCATGCTCTGCACTGTTCTATTATTACATTATCCGCTTGTGTTGTAGTGATCAGTAATAATGCTGGCTGGAGGTGCTCAGGCTGAGTTTTGCAGTGACTATGTGTAGGGCTTTTCCTAGCTGCCTTAGTGTGTTGGATATAACCTGCTCCTATATACTGCAGCATTTTTTTTCCCTCCCTCTGAAGCCTGTGGCCCTTATGTTCTGCAATGAAAATGCTTGCATAAAGCAGAGCGGCGTTCCTGATTCTGTCTAGGATGCCGATGCCTGGATGTCATGATGTGCATAGGAATTTTATAGGGACGGCCGATTACAGCTTCACTGGCAAAAGCACTCGTGTCCCGGGCTGGCTCATGGCACATCCTGAGACACATCACATTCTGCTGTACAAGTTGCACGCAAGGTCTGAAAAATCTGCTGCTCGTGTCGCTGCATTCTGCTCCGGTTGCATCATGCATTTTTACAGTGAGGGTTTAATTATTTTTGCTTGTGACTTCATTTCCTAAATGAGCAGTAAAGCGACGTACACCTTTTGATCTGTATAGACTGCATAGAGGTTGTATTTCTGTCCCTCGTATTAACCCAGAAAAGAGGCAAGGTGGTCATTTTGGGATTGAGTGTAACAGGCAATTTACCACGAGGAATTGGATGGTCAGTCACATGCAGCGTTTGTGGTCAGTGTGCAGTCCTTGTTCAATGCTTTTCATATTTTAAAGGTTATCCCCATAACTGGGAAACCAACCCACAAGGACTGTGTAAAGACAATGCTGTAAAGACAATGGGAGTAGTTGCCCACAGCAACCATTCAAGTTTAATCTTTGAAATTAAGCAATAATTAATGTAGCATCTAATTTCCCCCCCCAGCTTTTGTCTTGTGTATAGTTGGCCAGCACAATAGAGTGGTGCCGAATGGACAGTTTCATAAAGACTATCTACCATGAAACATGGTCCTGAATGGACATCTCCATTAGGACCATCTTCCATGCAGCATGATCCTGAATAGACCGCTCCATAAAGACTTCCTTGCAGCATTGTGCTGAATTGACAGCTCCATTGATACTGTCCTTTCATCTCCAATAGCTTCCATTCAGGCCAACGCTGCAAGGCTACCAGTCTTTATGGAGCTGTCCATTCAGAACCACAATACAAGGTAGATAGTCTTCATGGAGCTGTCTATTCAGTACCATGCTGCATGGTAGATTGTCCTAATGGAAATGTCTATTCACAACTATGCTGTAAGGTAGATCTGGCTACCTTGCAGCATAGTCCTGCATGGACATCTCCATTAGGACTATCTACCCTAACACATGGTCCTGAATTTACATCTCCATTAGGGCTAACTACCGCGCAGCATGGTAGTTAGGACAGCAAGACTATGCTACCTTGCAGCATAGTCCTGAATGGACATCTCCGTTAGGACTATCTACCATAAAACATGGTCCTGAATGGACACCTCCATTAGGACTACCTACCTCCATGAGGACCAGCGTGGTACTGGATGTCTAGCTCCATAAAGACTGGTTGCCTTGCAGTGTGGTGCTGAATGGACAGCTCCATAACGACAGACTGCCTTGCAGTGTGGTGCTGAATGGACAGCTCCATAACGACAGACTGCCTTGCAGTGTGGTGCTGAATGGACAGCTCCATAATGCTGCTGATTTACAAGCATAGAGCTGAATGAGAACCTTCAGCGTTTGTTACATGGTTGTATAGACATTGAATGGGCTTAGATCTTAGTTGGTTAATTGAACTCCTAAGCTTCCTCATTATTCTAGTAGAAAGCAGGACTCTATAGAGGGTCAGTTTAGATATTACTGTGTACCTACAGTATTGTTACGTTTACTTTTTTCTGTCTCTTCCGTACCCGCGCAGTGGAACTGTTTTTTTTTTTGAATGAATAGTTAGTGAATGAATAGATCCATAATAAACATATCATGGACACAGAAATGTCTTGTAAAGGGATGCACTAACAAGTGACACCTAATATGTTCTTTAAAACATACAGAAAGGAAAAGTAACATGTTGAATATTAGGTGGGTGCTTTTCCACCACTTTTGTTTTCTATGGCATTAAATATTTTCTTGTTTTTTGGTTGCAGAAAGCACTCACTTTTACAAACAAAATTTCATCAAGAATTAAAATAGTAGAATAATAGTTAATAACAGAAGTATGATCACACAACAGACTTGCATCAAAAGTCAAAAAAAAGAAAGGTTGTGGAGACAGGACACCCATATTGCACCATGTGCACATATTCCAACTTGGAAGTGGTGGGAAGTAGTTGTGGAAAACTTATGTTTAGTTTATTAACTTCAGTTTATCAACATAACATAAGATGGTTAAGGGCCTCATATTTTCCAGAGCTGTCTCCTCGACTTGTTCTTTCTAAAATGTCAAATCTAGGTGAGCAGTTAAAGGAAAACTATGAGGCGAGTGAAAATCACTCCGCCTCATAGTGCTAGCCGACCTGTGACAATGAAACTGTCACAGGTCGGCTCAATAGGTCGGGAAGTTGGCAAACGCATAGCGTCGCTCTGTCTCACTTCTCGATCCTCTCCCTGCAGAGAGCCGTGACTGTCACAGCTCCCTGCAGGGATTCCCCCCTCCCCTGTCCAATCCTCCAGTGCTGACTGGCGGAACAGACGGAGGAGGGGGCGGGTACAGCTGGCTCTCTAGATACGCAGAGCCAGCTGTCACTCACGCAGCCGGGGGGATCCCGACAGCGGCGTCTCAGTATACCGCGGGCTGTAGCTTGTGGTATACTGAGCTTTGGGTGACGGGAGGACGCTAGTTTGTGTCCTCCCATTACCGTTAGGAGAACTATGGGGAAAAGCCCTGACCCCATAGTTCTCCTATGACTAAATCCCTCTTTCCCATAACGTCTTCCAGGACAGCATCACGAGATGGAATCTCCTCCCCCACACACAGGAAACACGTCACTTAATCTGCTTAAAACTGATCTCTTCAAGACACCAATGCTGATATTTCTTCTAAGTAGTTTGGGTCTCTGCTTTCTAGGTAGAGGTAAATGTGGCTTCCCAGGTATTTCTTTAGCTTATGAATGTTACCTCTTCTGGTACATGTGCCTCAGCATCATTTCACAAGTTGGTTGCTTTATAGATCATGTTCATTGTGTGACTGCAGCATCATCCAAATTAAGTTTTATATTAGTAGTGTGTTATTATTACTAATGTATTATAATTGTCCAAGGTAATCAAATATATTTCCACATCAAGCAATTCATACACAAATGTTACTTGATTTTGATCCACTTTATAGATCTTGTGTTTTTTTAATACATTTTGTGGGTGGTTTGAATAGCCGACTGGTTTCCTTTATCTCCAGGAGCCTACAATGGTGAGATTTCCATGCAGTAATTTGTGTTTCTGCCACCGCCTGTAAGGCTGTCGCGAGTTTGTCACCCTCTTGTATCTGGTTTCCCCAAATGTTTTATTTAACATTATAGGGAATCCATGATGTCAGTGATACTGGAAATTCTAGTAGGCATGAAACATTTTGTCACTGGAGTTTCAGAGATGCAAGTAATCAGAAGGTGATTCTACTTGCTAGCAGCTACCCAAAACTGGAATAATAGTTTTAGATGCAGTTAGCTTTCACATAGAATGCCACAAAAAAAAAAAAGCAATGGATGTATTTTATTTAAAAGTTAATTAGCAGATCTCTAGCTGGAGTGAATTGTCTCTGTTCTTGCTTAAAGTGTTCCTTAACTAAGAAAAAAATGCCTCTCCAGGTTCTGTGTAAGGTAGGGCTGCAACTAATGAATTTTTTCATAATCGATTAGCTGGCCGAACATAACGTTTATTTCAGTATAAAACTGCATGCACAATTCTTTTTGCAATCGCACTTTATTCGCGGTACCTTGCGTTCCAGTGCGGGGGCGATCACACTCTGGGTGGGAGGCATTTTCTTTTTCAAGGTTTTAAGTCTGCTTTAAACTGCTGCAGGTACACACTTTACAGCACAGTTAACCCCTAACATTAATGCTAATCCTAACCGTGACCCATATGTCTATCCCTCTTTGAAACCTTAAAAGAGAACTATGAGGTGAGTAGATGGTAACCAAAATAGTTGCGCTAGGATATATGGCAAAAATAAAAATTAATTAAAGGGACAGGACC